GAGCACAAATGAAACAATGTTTAGGTTGAAATGTTACACAAAACACTACGAGTAACGTATATTTATGATAATTCAGATAACATACAATTCTCACACTAACATTTAGGTATGATAACAAAGAATATTCATACCGACATTAGGTCAGATGTTAGTGATAAATTACAATTCTGATACTAACATTTATGTATGATAACATACAAAATTCATACCGACATTAAGTCAGATATGTAGTAATGTACAAGGGAAAACCAGAATGCCCAAATCTCTGTGTGGGTTCCGGGGCCCCATGTGGGGGGAGGGGGGAATTTATCCATTGCCCAGTAACAAGTATATCGAAATGGTTTATTAATTGAGGGTATTTTCTTAGAAGTCGGAGTGTGCCTGAGAGGCAAGAAACCAACAGTCTGCATATAAATAAGCAAGATCTGTAAAATGGAGATGAACAACCAGAATGTTCCACTGAACTTTACAGTCGGTGAATGAGTTATGAGTTGGATTATCTTCACAGCACTCTGGACACATCCATAGGTGCTCAGATTTACCCCTCAACATATTTATCAGCATCGTGTAGTTAACAGTGTCAGCTGGTTGACAAGACTTTGTGTGTATCTGGTGTGCTTCTCATGCCTTGACTGTGCCGATCTTTACTCCCAATTCTCGTATTTTTAGCAGTGATGTGGACATGTTGCTTCCAAAATCTTCGGAACGTTCTATTTCTTTAAGGGCACTAACAATCTCTGTGTGATCCATGGGCCTGCCATCTTCAATTAATGTGGCACCTGCCAGTCTATCAGCTCTTTCATTACCAACAACACCTGCATACTCTGGGACAAATATGAAGGTAACTGCACACACAGGAGAGTTTTGCAACAACTCGAGCCACTGTCTGCATAACCAGCCTGCCTCGACCCACCGAATCATGCTCAAAGAATCCCTCAGCATACACTGCAGTAATAGTCCCCCCCCCCCCCCCCCCCCCCCATAAGTGGGGCTGAGGAATAGGATGTGTGTTGCTTCTTAGCTGTTGTTAGCTTTATGAAAGGATTTGTTGCGGGAAGCGAAGGTGATTTTGAGTTTGCCCTAAACCTCATTTTCTACTTAGATTGAATGTATATATAGTTTTACTAAAGATGTAGAGAGATAGCTGTGTGACCAAAACCTTCTGACTCCCAGTCCAGAAATAAGGGAATTTGCATCAACAAAACCTAGCTGGGGGGAAAAAAAAAGTTTTCAGAGCTAAAAGCCACACAGTAGCAATCCTGATACATAAATGAGACTCAGGGACAGTCAGCTGACTACTGAACAATCAAGCTGAAGCTGCAGAGGGGTGGTTTTACAGATAAACGATGAGGACAGCACAGACACATTCGTGACATGAGGACAGCACAGACACATTCATGACATGATGAGAACAGCACAGACACTTTCATGATATGATGAGAACAGCACAGACACATTCATGACATGATGAGGACAGCACAGACACATTCATGATATGATGAGGACAGCACAGACACATTCATGATATGATGAGGACTGCACAGACACTTTCATGACATGATGAGAACAGCACAGACACTTTCATGATATGATGAGACCAGCACAGACACATTCATGACATGATGAGGACAGCACATACTCATTCATGACATGATGAGAACAGCACAGACACATTCATGAAATGATGAGGACAGCACAGACACTTTCAAGATATGATGAGAACAGCACAGACACATTCATGACATGAGGACAGCACAGACACTTTCAAGATATGATGAGAACAGCACAGACACATTAAAGATACAATGAGAACAGCACAGACACTTTCTAGATTTGATGAGAACAGCACAGACACTTTCATGATATGATGAATACAGCACAGACACATTTAAGATATGATGAGAACAGCACAGACACATTCATGAAATGATGAGAACAGCACAGACACATTCACGACATGATGAGAACAGCACAGACACATTCATGACATGATGAGAACAGCACAGACACATTCATGACATGATGAGGACAGCACAGACACATTCGTGATATGATGAGGACAGCACAGACACTTTCATGACATGATGAGAACAGCACAGACACTTTCATGATATGATGAGGACAGCACAGACACATTCAAGATATGATGAGGACACCACAGACACATTCGTGATATGATCAGGACAGCACAGACACATTCATGACATAATGAGAACAGCACAGACACATTCAAGATATGATGAAAACAGCACAAACACATTCATGACACGAGGACAGCACAGACACTTTCAAGATATGATGAGAACAGCACAGACACATTCAAGATACGATGAGAACAGCACAGACACTTTCTAGATATGATGAGAACAGCACAGACACTTTCATGATATGTTGAGGACAGCACAGACACATTCAAGATATGATGAGAACAGCCCAGACACTTTGATGATATGATGAGAACAGCACAGATACTTTCAAGATATGATGAGAACAGCATAGACACATTCATGACACGAGGACAGCACAGACACTTTCAAGATATGATGAGAACAGCACAGACACATTCAAGATACGATGAGAACAGCACAGACACTTTCTAGATATGATGAGAACAGCACAGACACTTTCATGATATGATGAGGACAGCACAGACACATTCAAGATATGATGAGAACAGCACAGACACTTTGATGATATGATGAGAACAGCACAGATACTTTCAAGATATGATGAGAACAGCATAGACACATTAATGACATGATGAGGACAGCACAGACACTTTCATGACATGATGAGGACAGCACAGACACTTTCATGATATGATGAGGACTGCACATAGACATTCATGATATGATGAGAACAGCACAGACACTTTTAAGATATTATGAGAACGGCAAAGACACTTTCAAGATTTGATGAGAACAGCACAGACACTTTCATGACATGACGAGGACAGCACAGACACTTTCAGGATATGATGAGAACAGCACAGACACATTCATGACATCATGAGGATAGCACAGACACTTTCATGATATGATGAGAACAGCACAGACACGATTTGATGAGGACAGCACAGACACTTTCATGATATGATGAGAAAAGCACAGGCACATTCATGATATGATGAGAACAGCACAGACACATTCAAGATATGATGAGAACAGCACAGACACATTCAAGATATGATGAGAACAGCACAGACGCATTCAAGATATGATGAGAACAGCACAGACTCATTCATGATATTATGAGAACAGCACAGACTCATTCATGATATGATGAGAACAGCACAGACTCATTCATGATATGATGAGAACAGCACAGACTCATTCATGATATGATGAGAACAGCACAGACTCATTCATGATATGATGAGAACAGCACAGACTAATTCATGATATGATGAGAACAGCACAGACACATTCATGATATGATGAGAACAGCACAAACACATTCAAGATATGATGAGAACAGCTCAGACGCATTCAAGATATGATGAGAACAGCACAGACACATTCATGATATGATGAGAACAGCACAGACACATTCAAGATATGATGAGAACAGCACAGACACATTCATGATATGATGAGGATGCCTTGAAAGAAATTACATCACACAGATAACTGTTTACCTACATCGCTAGAAGACAATCTACACTCTTAAATGACATCATGAGAAGAGATAAATGGGAGTATGTCATGACAAATGGAAAACTGGGGAGAGAGATATGCAGAGGGAGAAGATGGTATACAGTCTGGCATCATGGCATGGGGAAACATGTGCATCGAGAAATGGCTGACAGTACATGAGAGAAGGCTGTGCACTTGACATGATTACCAACTCCTGCACTTGACATGATTACCAACTCCACACAGCAAGGACTACAGGAAAACCAATCTGGTAATGACCATTAAGATTCACTTATCACTGCCCCGTGTGGTTTCTGGGCCCCAGTGTGGGGGACTAAAAACAAGAATAGATCCAAAGGTTCCCCCCCCCCTCCAAAAACATGTCATCAAAGTCAACTAATTAAAGGTGCTTCCTTCAAAGTCCGAGTGCATCTGCCTGAGAGGTGAGGAAACCAATAGACTGCATACAAAGTCCAGAAGTGGACGAAGAGCCAGAACTTTCTGCTGGAGTTTACAGCTGGTGAATGTGAAGAAGAAGACGAAGACTTATCACTGATTACTGATTTATTTTTCTGGGTTTATTTCTGCGTTCAGATCACTGATTTAAGAACAGACATCGTAGCAAACTGGGCAAGTGACAAATAAAGTGTAGATGCTAACTGTTCTAGTTGCACACTGGTTGTATACATGCCATACACTTCCTCACGTACTTCCTTTCTATCTGGATAAACAATTAATTCCAAATTCATACAACTGTTCATCTGTTATTTCATCTAACATCGTATTTTCAAAAAGCATACATTCAAAAAGAAAATATCTTTAGAATGTGTCCCATGTCTAGTATAAGTGTTCGTGCAGCTATCGTTTTTCACTTATCAATGCTATCAGGCATAAATTATTTCAACAGAATGCTACATAACATATCTGAAATCCCAAATGCAGTGGTTTTCAACCTGAATAGTGTTGGGGAAAAGGGAGGGGGGGGGGGGGGTGTTAATTATAAATGAAATTTTTTTAAAATTATTTAAAAAAACAAAAAGTCATAGGAGGTTTTTGTCATCAAAAACAGAAAAATCTAATTAATAAGATAAAAAATGTTTTTAACTATAGATTAAAAACATATTGTGACCAAAAGTATATCTCTTTCTGAGTTTTTTTGTTTTTTTGGATCCTGTCTTTTTAATCAAATTTTTTTTTAATTGGGGGAAAAGAAAGAGGGAGGGGTATGGCATGTGCCATATATTCATGGGGGAGACGACCTCAAAAAGCTTGAAAACCACTGCTGTAAGTAACTCTTTCATCAACTCTAGCGGACCTGCTCCAGATACACATTCACAGAACTGCATCAGACACATCCATTGATGTTCAGGAGTCTGCAGACAGGTACGGGTTGACATGACCGATCCCTTCACAGGTCAGCAGGACTCTACCTTTGTCCATCTCTTCCACTGTGAATTCTGCCTGGAAAATAAAAAACATGAAATTACGATATGATCTGCTCAGATTCTTACTTGAGTGTATATAGCGGTACCTAAGTATACGTCCTTAATCCGTTCCAGATCCTTGGACTTATACCAAACAGTATGTATACCAAATTTTCCCAGAAGGAAAAAAAGGGTGAATAATTAATCTGTTCCCATGAAAAAATCCTATTGTTTTTTGCAAATTATACAAATAAATGGTTGTTATAATAAAATGTAAACACTGCTAAATAATACAATACATAAATACAAAAGCAAATAAGTGAAATAAATAAAAATGTAACCTCACTGAGAAGAGCTAAGTGATACTTGGGTGGAGCTGCAAAGGGAAGAAGAGGAGAAGGTACTGTTTCGAAGGAGAGTCCCCATCCAATAAAATGTCTTCTTCTTCTTCTTTTGTCATCTCACTGATACCAGGTTGTAGTCCGTGTTGTGGTTTTATGTATTTATCTTGCACTTCTCTGTGGCATGGGTAATGGATTTGTTCATCTTTCTGCAGGTTTCTGCTACATCATTTATCCATCTCTCTCTTGGTCTTCCTCTCGCCTTACTTCCAGATGTTCTGCTGTAAAAAGTCTTGTATGCAGTTTGGTCTGGCTGCATTCTCACATGATGGCTGAACCATTTCATTCTTTGCCTGTCAATATATGCCAGACATGGTCTTATTCTAACTTTCTCTCTAATGCTAGTATTCGTAACCCTGTCTCTTCTTGTGTTGTTAGTAGCATTGCTGTATTGTTAGTGACCTTGCGGAGATAGCACATTTCACATGTAGTTATTTTCTGTTCCAGTGCCCTATCATTTGTCCATGCTTCAGGAATCTGATATTTTGGTGTGGTTCGTTTCTTTTCTTTTTTTTTTTTCTGTCTCTTGTTCTCAACTTGAACCTGGCTGAGGCTCAGCGGGTTTTACTTTCACTATAACTGTCCAACCGGCGTAATGCTGACCACATTACCCACAGAGTGCTGATGGTCTGTAAAAATATGGGACGCTCTGCCCATATGCCCGATGCGCCGAAAGGTTCTGGTTGCTCGTCCACTACTGAACTGCAGTCCTGCTCCAGAACCTGACTGTTGCGTGTGCATCAGTTTTACAGATCTCCTTCTCTTGAATACAGACTGTTGGTTCCTTGCCTTTCCGGCAGATGCACTCCGACTTCAAAGGAAGCTCCCCAATTAGTCGACTCTTACGACATGCTTTTGGGGAGGCAGTGGGTCTATTCTTGTTTTCCCCACAATGGGGCCCCGGAACCCACACGGGGGACCTCCCAAAATGAGGCCTTGGAACCCATACAGGCAGATTGTTTATTCTAGTAGCATTTAATTTGCTGTTCATATTTCTTGGACTCAAGATGGTTCATATTTTCAGCGGTCACTTTTTCATATTTTTCAACACGATTTCTTTACAAAAGGGGTTTATAAAAACTACAAAAAACATAAACATTCCATCTATGTGTGTATGTATAATCCTTGTATATAATATGAGATATGCATAATAAGTACTCTACCTCATCAGTTCCAGGAAGTTTTTTAACTTAACAGTGTAATTATCCTTCTTTATTGACTTTTAAAAAATTTATTTATTATTTGTGGTCGGAAGTGCGGATGGCTGTAAATTGCAAAGGTTGCAGGTTAACGAGAAGGTGTAGCCTACCTAACCTTACACCAGGGCGGCCATAAATGGTTTAAACACGAGAATGATGACCTACTTTAGTCATCAACCTGGAGACATGAATGGCTGTCTGTGTGTGAAGGGTCAGAGGTCCACAAAGCATCTGGGACTGTCCTTTAGCCAGAGTCATCAGGAGAATCAACTGAAATTTGATACATAAAATAATTTATCTGATATTTTTAAGTTCTCAAAATCCTAAAAAGTTCTATTTGTTTCATCTTTTTTTTTTTTTTTAATGGCTATCTTCAATAATAGACATAGAATACGTGCACATCATAACTTTTATCTGATAGCCTCACCATAACACACAACATGTTTCAGAACCAGCATTGAAACTGTAATGAACATACATTTCTCTGCTGCATTATCAGACCCTCTCAGATCTGGAAAATCTAAATTAGCTGATAACATTAGATGGAAGATGTATTAAAGAAGTTAAATGTAGAATAGCTCAAGCAAAGGCAGCATTCTACAAAATGAAGAATTTTCTATGCAATCTGTCTTTGTCAACTTAGACGAGAAAGAGAATTCTTAAAAGCTATATAAATCCTATCCTGATATAGGGAAGTGAATCATGGACAGATTGTAGATTAATGAAACATTATTTGGAAGATGCGGAGATATGGTTTTATGGACAAATGATGAGAATACCCTGAACAGGTAACAAGAGTAATGAAGATGTCCTGAAAAAGAAAAAAACAGACTCATGAAGAGAACTGATTGCCCACATCTGAAGGAGATAATCTAAATTCTTTGGTTCTGTCATCAGAAACAGAAAACTGGAGAACATCGTGGAAAGTTGGAGGGGAGGAGAGGCAGAGGGAGACTGAGAGACAAGATGCTGGACAGTCTGACATCATGGCATGGAGGATCATCTGCAACAGAGTTGCGTTAAAGTACATGAGACAGAAGGTTGTGGATAGACATGACTACCAAAACCACACAGCATGGACTTTAAGAAGAACTAAGGTGAACAAGTTACCACTTTAACTTTTATTTCGGTTACAACAATGTCCAGCCTTGGACAGGACCAGTCATCAATGCCGTGCAAGATACATATCCCACAGATAATTACAACCATAAATATCGCTTCCTATCCCTGTCCAGGTTGCTGTTTATCAACAAGGAGCCAACAGACATGAACATTTAAAAAAACAAGGACACAAGATATTTGACTAGTTAACTCTTTGAGCTCTTCTTTCAACTACGGCTGGTAGACGGCCGGTTAGTCGGAGTTCTGTCCCCTGGCTGCAGTGCAATTACGGACTGGAGAAGGCACGAATCAGAAAACACAGTGAGGTCGACATGTCTGGCAGACCCTGCGCTGCGACTCAAATTAGCGACCGCGTTCAATTACCGCTTCTTGCGACGCATTACGGAGTGGACTAGATGGAACGAAACAAGTGACATAATTACTGTGTGTTGGGGATAGACAGCGTGCAGTGCCCTACTGTCATCATAAAGTTAGGGTTTGGGTTAGGGTTAGGGGTAGGGTTTGGGTTAGGTTTAGGGTTAGGGTTGCTACTATGAGTTTGTGCGAAGACGAGATGCGGCGACACAAACGTAACCCTAACCCACACCCTAACCCTAAATCTAACCCACACCCTACCCCTACCCCTAACCCAAACTGTAACCGTATGATTATAGCAGGGCAGTGCACGCTGTCTATCGCCAACACACAGTAATTATGTCATTTGTTTCGTTCCCTCCTTTCCACTCCGTAATTGCACTGCAGCCAGGGGACAGAACTCCGACTAACCGGCCATCTACTGTTGTCTACCGGCCGTAGTTGAAAGGAGAGCTACTCTTTGAGTCCCAAGGAATGCATCATACGCTCCTACCTAGAAGCCCAATGAGCGCATGATGCGCCGATTTTATTACTTTCTTTACCTCCTCCTGGGCCTGTGATGCTAAACCCCCCGGGACTCAAAGAGTTAACTCTTTGAGTCCCAAGAAACCCATCATACGTTCCTAACTAGAAGTCCAATGAACGCAAGATGCGCTGATTTTACGTCTCTTTTGACCACCCCTTGGGCCTCTGATGCTAAACCCCCTGGGACTGAAAGAGTTAATGCAGAACAGGTGTAAACAGTTTCTGTACACATGTGTAGCTACCAAGGAAGAGATCAGATCCCCTATGTTATCTGTCTGGAATGTTGAGATGATAGTCCTACGTAAACCAAAAACTGCCACTACTGCCTGTGTTTACCACTTCTGTGGTGTAGGCAGGGGGAAGTCTTTGAGCCTGAGGATTTAAGGCCGCATGGCTAGTGCTATTGGCATGGACTGCGCAGGTTAGGATTTTACTTTTGTCCCCGACAGGAAAAAAATTGCCAACTTTACTGAGGATTCTTTTTTCTCACATTCACCAGCAGTAAACTCCAGCAGAAAGTTCTGGTTGTTTGTCCACCTCTGGAATTTAGTCGTGTTCCAGCACTTGAATTTTGCATGCACATCCAAATTGAAGATCTGGCTTATTTATGTGCAGACATTGGTACCTTGCATCTCAGGTAGATGCACTCTGCCTTTGAAGGAAGCCCCCAATGAGTTGATTTTTACGACTTGCTGGGGAAAGTAGTGGGACTATTCTTGCTTTCCTCACAATGAGGCCCCCGAACCCACATGGGGAACTGAGGATTTAAACCTGGGTCACCCGCTTGAGAGTCCAGCATTCTTTCCAGTTCAGCTAGCCACTCCTCCTCTATAACCACTAACAGCAATGACACAAGAGTCAATAGCAAGGGATTAAAAGTGGCATGATAGCTATTATAAACACAATTATGACTGCAAGGATCTTGCCAAGGTGTGTTCAGAAGAGAAACATATCTCAAAGGAAAGGGAAGCGCCCAAGGATACACTAATTGAAGATAACTCCGGATGATGTCTTGCATCATATCTTCTTCTTCGGCGATCTCTGGTCATGTGCATAATCCACTGTGGGTCATAAACTGGAATGTCTTTTCAAGGTCTCTTAGGTTTCCCCAAAGCTTAATTGTCAGTTCTACTGGGTGTTGCCATATGTTGCTCCGCAGCTCCGCCAGGAGAGGACAGTCTTGCAGGACATGTTCTGGAGTTTCTTTAGCACAAAGGCACTGGCAGAGATATGTTTGGCTCATACCTAATTTATATGAGTGTTTATTGAGTCTGCAGTGTCCAGTACGTAAGCGAAAAACTGTGACTTGGTCTGTTCTGTTCAAGTGTTTCCGAAAATCTTTTTTGTCTTTATAACCAGTGTTGGTTTTCCAATCTGTTTCTGATTTTCTCCTAATGAGAGTTTTGACTTCTGGAAAAGATAGTGGCTGGTAGGTCTGTGGTTTGTTAAGGCCTTCCTTGGCTAGAGCATCAGCGCTTTCATTGCCTTTGATTTGCATCGCATGACACCCTAACAAGCATACTGCTGTATAAGGCAACTAAACTAGGGTTTTGCTGAAAGTGGATGTGTTGGGCTTAAGGACCAGATACTGCAGCTAAGCTGTAAACTACAATACAATGTGTCAACTGCCTGCCCTTTCAAGGGCAAATATAGTAGAAGAAGAAGAAGAAGAAGGAGGAGGAGAAGAAGAAAAAGAAGAAGATGAATAATAATAAGGAAAAGATGGAGGAGGAGAGGATGGGGTGGAGCAGGAGGAGGAGGCAGCTGGAGGAGGAGACAAAGAAGAGATCTCAGGCACTAAATGTGATCAGGTTGTGTAGGCAGAACAAAAGCAGTCAGCAGTATTGTAACACTGTGACAATAAATAACCTGGTCTTGTGCATGCTGATCCACGCAGCCTCCTGAATGCAGTGCCTCCAGCAACTCTTTGGCAGCAGCAGTGCCTGCTTCTTCAGCAGGAGTCCCTTAGACAGAAAACCTTAATGAGACTCCTTTAACATGATATAATTTATAAGTGTCTTATTTTCTTCTTCTTCTTCAAGTTTACTGGCTGTTAACTCTGCTAGAAAGTTCTGGCTGTGTCGTCCACATCTAGAAGTTAGTCCTCTAACTTGTTCCAGAATTTGAGTTCTGCACATGCAATCCTTTTACAGATCTAGCTTGCCTGTATGCAGATTTTTTTTTTTTTGTTCCTTGCCTCTTGGGCAAGATGCGCTATGATCTCGAAGGAAGCCCCCAATTAGTCGACTCTTAAAGGAAGCCCCCAATTAGTCGACTCTTAAAGGAAGCCCCCAATTAGTCGACTCTTAAAGGAAGCCCCCAATTAGTCGACTCTTAAAGGAAGCCCCCAATTAGTCGACTCTTAAAGAAAGCCCCCAATTAGTCGACTCTTAAAGGAAGCCCCCAATTAGTCGACTCTTAAAGGAAGCCCCCAATTAGTCGACTCTTAAAGGAAGCCCCCAATTAGTTGACTCTTAAAGGAAGCCCCCAATTAGTCGACTCTTAAAGAAAAAGCCCCCAATTAGTCGACTCTTAAAGGAAGCCCCCAATTAGTCGACTCTTAAAGGAAGCCCCCAATTAGTCGACTCTTAAAGGAAGCCCCCAATTAGTCGACTCTTAAAGGAAGCCCCCAATTAGTCGACTCTTAAAGGAAGCCCCCAATTAGTCGACTCTTAAAGGAAGCCCCCAATTAGTCGACTCTTAAAGAAAGCCCCCAATTAGTCGACTCTTAAAGAAAGCCCCCAATTAGTCAACTCTTAAAGGAAGCCCCCAATTAGTCGACTCTTAAAGGAAGCCCCCAATTAGTCGACTCTTAAAGGAAGCCCCCAATTAGTCGACTCTTAAAGGAAGCCCCCAATTAGTCGACTCTTAAAGAAAGCCCCCAATTAGTCAACTCTTAAAGGAAGCCCCCAATTAGTCGACTCTTAAAGGAAGCCCCCAATTAGTCGACTCTTAAAGGAAGCCCCCAATTAGTCGACTCTTAAAGAAAGCCCCCAATTAGTCGACTCTTAAAGGAAGCCCCCCAATTAGTCGACTCTTAAAGGAAGCCCCCAATTAGTCGACTCTTAAAGGAAGCCCCCAATTAGTCGACTCTTAAAGGAAGCCCCCAATTAGTCGACTCTTAAAGGAAGCCCCCAATTAGTCGACTCTTAAAGGAAGCCCCCAATTAGTCGACTCTTAAAGGAAGCCCCCAATTAGTCGACTCTTAAAGAAAGCCCCCAATTAGTCGACTCTTAAAGGAAGCCCCCAATTAGTCGACTCTTAAAGGAAGCCCCCAATTAGTCGACTCTTAAAGGAAGCCCCCAATTAGTCGACTCTTAAAGGAAGCCCCCAATTAGTCGACTCTTAAAGGAAGCCCCCAATTAGTCGACTCTTAAAGGAAGCCCCCTAATTAGTCGACTCTTAAACATGCTTGTTGGGGAGGCAATGGGCCTTTTCTTGTTTTCCCCACAATAAGGCCCTAGAACCCACACAGGGAATTTATAAATCTAAAAGGTAACAAAACAGAGGTGACTGCAGTCAAGCTAATAAAACGGAGGTGACTGCAGTCAAGCTAATAAAACGGAGGTGACTGCAGTCAAGCTAATAAAACGGAGGTGACTGCAGTCAAGCCAATAAAACGGAGGTGACTGCAGTCAAGCCAATAAAACGGAGGTGACTGCAGTCAAGCCAATAAAACGGAGGTGACTGCAGTCAAGCCAATAAAACGGAGGTGACTGCAGTCAAGCTAATAAAACGGAGGTGACTGCAGTCAAGCTAATAAAACGGAGGTGACTGCAGTCAAGCTAATAGAACGGAGGTGACTGCAGTCAAGCTAATAAAACGGAGGTGACTGCAGTCAAGCTAATAAAACGGAGGTGACTGCAGTCAAGCTAATAAAACGGAGGTGACTGCAGTCAAGCCAATAAAACGGAGGTGACTGCAGTCAAGCCAATAAAACGGAGGTGACTGCAGTCAAGCCAATAAAACAGAGGTGACTGCAGTCAAGCCAATAAAACAGAGATGACTGCAGTCAAGCCAATAAAACGGAGGTGACTGCAGTCAAGCCAATAAAACGGAGGTGACTGCAGTCAAGCCAATAAAACGGAGGTGACTGCAGTCAAGCTAATAAAACGGAGGTGACTGCAGTCAAGCTAATAAAACGGAGGTGACTGCAGTCAAGCTAATAAAACAGAGGTGACTGCAGTCAAGCTAATAAAACGGAGGTGACTGCAGTCAAGCTAATAAAACGGAGGTGACTGCAGTCAAGCTAATAAAACGGAGGTGACTGCAGTCAAGCTAATAAAACGGAGGTGACTGCAGTCAAGCTAATAAAACGGAGGTGACTGCAGTCAAGCTAATAAAACGGAGGTGACTGCAGTCAAGCCAATAAAAAACGGAGGTGACTGCAGTCAAGCCAATAAAACAGAGGTGACTGCAGTCAAGCCAATAAAACAGAGATGACTGCAGTCAAGCTAATAAAACGGAGGTGACTGCAGTCAAGCTAATAAAACGGAGGTGACTGCAGTCAAGCTAATAAAACGGAGGTGACTGCAGTCAAGCTAATAAAACGGAGGTGACTGCAGTCAAGCTAATAAAACGGAGGTGACTGCAGTCAAGCTAATAAAACGGAGGTGACTGCAGTCAAGCTAATAAAACGGAGGTGACTGCAGTCAAGCTAATAAAACGGAGGTGACTGCAGTCAAGCTAATAAAACGGAGGTGACTGCAGTCAAGCCAATAAAACGGAGGTGACTGCAGTCAAGCCAATAAAACAGAGGTGACTGCAGTCAAGCCAATAAAACAGAGATGACTGCAGTCAAGCTAATAAAACGGAGGTGACTGCAGTCAAGCTAATAAAACGGAGGTGACTGCAGTCAAGCTAATAAAACGGAGGTGACTGCAGTCAAGCTAATAAAACGGAGGTGACTGCAGTCAAGCTAATAAAACGGAGGTGACTGCAGTCAAGCTAATAAAAAACGGAGGTGACTGCAGTCAAGCTAATAAAACGGAGGTGACTGCAGTCAAGCTAATAAAACGGAGGTGACTGCAGTCAAGCTAATAAAACGGAGGTGACTGCAGTCAAGCTAATAAAACGGAGGTGACTGCAGTCAAGCTAATAAAACGGAGGTGACTGCAGTCAAGCTAATAAAACGGAGGTGACTGCAGTCAAGCTAATAAAACGGAGGTGACTGCAGTCAAGCTAATAAAACGGAGGTGACTGCAGTCAAGCTAATAAAACAGAGGTGACTGCAGTCAAGCTAATAAAACGGAGGTGACTGCAGTCAAGCTAATAAAACGGAGGTGACTGCAGTCAAGTTAATAAAACAGAGGTGACTGCGGTTGAGCCAATAAAACAGAGGTGACTGCGGTGAAGCCAATAAATTTTTAATTTTGCTTCTGTGTTGTACGATTTTCCTGTTCAGGAAGGTGGAGGGTGGTTTTCTTTACATGGAATGAGCTGCACAAATCTAGAGGTCACGTGTTGTGAGATTCACAAGGATATTTTTCCCTGGGCCTTTCAGGAATGTTCAGGAATGAGCAGGCATATGGGCTGGTTGGACTGGCCCCACTTGGGCTTGTACTGCAACTCCACAAGGCAGAGGTGACCTCTGGCCTGAGGAGTAAGGTAACAAGCAAAATGGAGAGAATGTTGCAGCAGGGAGTGTCTGTGGGTTCTGGATGCCACTCAAGACTCAGAGGAAGTATTTAACCAGAAAACAATCAGTACCATCAGTATGGCGACTCTACTGGTTGTTAAGAAAACAGAAAGAGCTAACTAACATGTGCTTGTCCTGAAAGCTGCGATGTCAAATCTTCCCCCAGCGTTTTCCTAGAAAGTCCTCAAGAATCATGTCCTTAAATGGTTCTAGTAAGTCTCCATGTTTCAACCAAGCCCAGACGTATTTGTGTGTTCTTCAAGCAAAAGCAACAGCAACAACAACAACAGAAATCAGCAGTGTTCTTGCTGTACTATATATAAACCAGCTTACTTGGTTTCCCTAGTGCTGATCCACCTAGGACACAACCGGTGCTGGTCTCAGCCACAATTCTGAAAACAAGAAAGATGAGTCTTGATGCAGACAACTGACTATCTGACATTTCAGAATACTTCCAGGGCTCTATTATAGGGACAGCAAGAATAGACCCACTGCTTACCCAAAAGCATGTCGTAAGAGTCGACTAATTGGGAACTTCCTTCGAAGTCAGAGTGCCTCTGCCTGAGAGGCAAGGAACCAGCAGTCTGCATATAAATGAGTCAGATCTGTAAAATAGATACACATGCAACACTCAGGTTCTGGAACAGGACTGCTGCAGTCTGAAAGTGGATGAACAACCAGAACTTTCCGCCGGAGTTAACAGCTGGTGAACACGAAGAAGAAGAAGATTTTAGAATACAAGCAAAGAAAGATAAGCCTTAATGGATCATCTGAAAACTGTGAAAAAACATAAGGGACACAGCATTTTTGGGCTATTTGTGATTTCATGCAGCAATTTCATGTTCAGTAGTTTGTAACTGCTTTCTAACAACGGCCTGTTCTCAACACCACTGGCAAAACCATTGCTCGCAGATGGGACTGACTCCAGCCCTTCAGAATTAGGAATTATGTCTCTTATCAACAAAAGACGAGAATAATCAAATCAATCAGAAAGCCGCCAAAACTGGCACAAGACGATTTCCATTTTACGGACAGAGCAGAGCAAGTTATTATTCTACGCCTTAGAACAGGACACAACCAACTTCGCAGCCACGTGTACACACAATTTAAAATCTGTGAATCAGCCATGTGCACATGTGGACTGGCACCTGAGACAACAGATCACGTCCTCCAAGACTGTCTCAATTACAACATATCAAGGCAAAATGTTTGGCCAAGAGAAACATCAGTGCAAGTCAAACTTTACGGGTTGCTGAGTGAATGATAGTGAGGTTCATACTAGAGGCAACATTGCAGACACAGATAATCCATTTCAAGCCAACGAAAGAAGAAGGAGAAGAAGAATTATGAAGTTTGTTCACAATGCCATAGATGTTGAAGAAAAAAAATCATAAAGAGCATTTTGCTAAACACACAAAAAACAAAATAAAAGAGCTATGCAAAACAAAGCAAACATCAGTTTAAATAATGATAACTGGAAAAGTACCCCACAGAAAAAAAAATCCTATTTTTAAAATCTACATACATCGCACCCAGTCCATTTCCAACAGCAGTTCCTTCTGGCTCCTTCAGACTGTCTTGTTTGAGCTCTACTTTGGGAAAGTTTTGTTTGACCAACTTGCTGATGCTCTGAGATATCTTGGTGGGTAGCTGACGAAGAAAAAAAAGAAGGACAACCACTTTACAAATTCCCCTAAGGGTACTGCGGCCCCACTGTGGGGATAACAAGAATAGATCCACTGCTTCCTGAAAAGCATGTCGTAAGAGTCGACTATTTGGGCACCTTCTTCGAAGTCGGAGTGCATCTGCCTTAGAGAAAAGGAACCAACAGTCTGCATACAAATAAGCCAGATCTGTTAAATGGGTGTGCAGGCAAGACTCAGGTTCTGAAAAAAATAACTAAAGTCCAGAAGTGGATGAAAGATCAGAACTCTCCGCTGAAGTTTACAGTCGGTGACCATGAAGAGGAAGAAGACTTACCAGACCTGGCTCATACAACATAATCATTACTGTCACCACGTGCCATACCAAGCATTGCAGATGGTCTATGATCTCCCACAGACATACACTCTCTGTATTTTGTCTGAATGTTATATTCCCTGTGTGTGTCCTAGAGCTCCATTTTGGACAATAAAGAATAGACCAACCTCCCTCCCTCCCTCCACCCCCCCCCCCCCCACCCCCACCCCACCAACAAGCATGTCATAAAAGTTGACTAATTAGGGATATTTTCTTCAAACTCACTGCATCTGTCTGAGAGGCAAGAAACCAACAATCTGCACACAAATAAACCAGATCTGTAAAATGGATAATGCAGGCAAAACTCAAGTTATGGATCAAGGCCAGGAGTGGATGATTATCCAGAACTTTCTGCCAGTGAACGCTAAGAAGAAGAAGAAAATGTTCAGTTTGATTAATGCTGACCGGTCTTTTGACTGCCCATTCAGCATTTTCTTCCTAGGTCTCAAGCACTTACATTTTTCTGGTTTTTCATGCCGGTCTTAAAACTTCCATACCTCATAACATGATTAAGATATGACTGTCTTTCAAAAAAGATATAGCGGATCGGAAGGTCGTGGGTTTGCGTCCTGGCGGAGCCTGACTTTTTTTCAAAAATGACCTTGACTCCCAGGTCAACCCAGCCTTCAGTGGGTACCAGGTGCAGTCCTGGGAAGTAAAGGTGGCCGGTGTGGTGCTGACCACATCACCCACTAAGTGCCGATTGCTCTATAAAAATATAGGTCTAGCCCTATATTTCCAATACGCCTAAACACCTTTTATTATTTTTATTTATGTGTGTGCTTAATTTACAATCCATCACACTGTACATTGAAAGTTTACAATCCATCACACTGTACATTGAAAGTTTACAATCCATCACACTGTACATTGAAAGTTTACAATCCATCACACTGTACATTGAAAGTTTACAATCCATCACACTGTACATTGAAAGTTTACAATCCATCACACTGTACATTGAAAGTTTAGTCCATCACACTGTACATTGAAAGCACACCCACCATTGATTACAACATTCCTATATGACAAGAATACACATCTAAAACTACTGCACCTTGTAAAAGGTAAACATCTTAATTACCAAAGATTCAAATGTAATATTTAATCAATCCTTACATGTGGTGGTAGACTCCCAGCAACAAAGGCCCTGCTGTAGATTCGAACCAATTCCCCCCGCACTGTTAAACCATCTTTAACACCAATAAGACCAGGTGTGGGGTAAGATGTTACTACGACTTCTCCACCACCTTTAGGATAATAACCTCTGAAATTTGCAAATAAAAAAAAAGATTATTTATTTTTCAGCATCTCTTATAAAAATAGTTTCTCTTTTAAAACTAGTTTCTTAGAATAAACACAATTTTTTAAAAGCAACTTTTAATGAACATGAAACAAAAAATATTTAAATATGACCTTGAACTTACAGGTTTGATATGTTATATATAGGAAGTGTTCAGGAGACCCTTGATATTTTATTTCTGAGGTCCCGCTTGTGGGTTCCAGAGGACCAGCTCTGGGTGGCGGAGAAGATCAGAAGCCCACTCTCCCTTACATGTCCTAAGAGTCAACTTGTCCGCGTGTCACCGGGGCCTATATAGGAAGCAAAGAATAGTAACACTCCACCCTACCAGGCATGTCGTATGAGGCGACTAGGGGTAGGGTTGGGCTGGCGCTTGTAATAGGTGAATGATGACACAGTGCAGAGAAAGCCGAAAGCAGTCCGGACCAACAAAATACACAGGGATAAAGGAGTCAGAAAGTTAAAAAGAACAAAAAAGTTAAAAGAACATTCTGGATACGGCTAGTATATATCTTAATGTGTTTCTCTGCTGGAAGCCGTTTTAGAGACAATGACATAGAGAAATAACAGAAGTGGTGTAGAACAGCAGGGACTGAGAAATAGGGAGACTTGCTTGTCACAGTGGGGAAATGGAGGAGGTCTGTTACTTTTTTTCCTCTCCAAAATGAGGCTCTAGAAGCAAGGCATGCTGACAGCAATGACAAATGATAGCATTAGTCATTATGTCCGTTCCACAGCTTTCAGTCACATGTACTACCAGTGATTCGTCTTCTACATTGATCTTTAACTGATAAATAGTGTGATGAGTTGTAGTTTACAGCATGGCTGCGATATCTGTGAACTGTGGCTCAACGCACCTGAAGGTAGTAAACCCTAAATTAGTCACCCTTTAGGGCAGGTCTGTTAAGCAGAAGGGGATCTATTCTCTTCCCTCCAAAATGGAGTTTTAAAACCCACACAGGGAACACAGAGGAACCTCACCATACCAGTCTACCTGGATATGGGTTTTTCAGGATAAAAGGTCTGGTTCGCCAATTATTGTTCAGATTTTTTCGCCCCAAAAAATTATGTAAAATCCAGGATACAAGTTGGACGGACAAGAAATCTTGGCATCACTCAACTGCATCGACTTTTAAATGGGTTAGAAGCCCGGCTCTCTAGCGTAGTTGGCTAAACCGGATTGCGCGGTGAGCGGGTGACGAACTCCTTGTGGTCCGGGTTCACTCCCGGGGTTAGGCAGAAAAGCCACATTTTCTCCCAGATTTACGGTATTTACAATAGAATCAAGGCCGAAAGGTTGCGATATCCATAATACCGAGCCTAAGGGTTAACAACTCATGGCTTCTGAATACTAAAACAAACAAACAACAAACAAACAAACGGGTTAGATCATGTTAAAATTGCCGAAAGAAGACTCAAGCCAGTCGACAAGGATTTGATGATGGTGATGATGATGATGGTGATGATGATGATGATGGTGATGATGATGATGGTGATGATGATGATGATGATGGTGATGGTGATGATGATGATGGTGATGATGATGATGATGATGATGATGATGGTGATGATGATGATGGTGATGATGATGATGATGATGATGATGGTGATGATGACTGTAGTATCATGGTCAGAAGTTACCCTGGTTTCTGCTGCCACAAAAACAAATAAAAGCCTGCTATCAAAATATATAAAACCTTGATAAGACCAGTCGTTTTATATGGCTCTGAAACTTGGAGAACAACTTCTTCTTCTTCTTCATGTTCACCAGCTGTAAACTCTGGTGGAAAGTTCTAATTGTTCATCAACTTTTGGACTGCAGTCCTCTTCCAGAACCTGAGTGTTGCGTCTGCGTCCGTTTTACAGATCTGACTCATTTGTATGCAGACTGCTAGTTCCTTGCCTCTCAGGCAGATGTACTCCGACTTCGAAGGAAGCTCCCAATTAGTCGACTCTTACGACATGCTTTTAGGTAGGCAGTGGGTCTATTTTTGTTTTCACAACAGGGCAACAGAACCCACACGGGGAATAGAACAACTAAAAGAGATGAAGCCTTATTACAGGTTTTTGAAAACAGAGTCTTGCAACGAATCTTTGGAACCATCAAAGATGCAAACAGCGGTGAACGGGGAGTGAGAAGCAACAACAAAATTGATAATCTGTTTAAATCACCACTGATCACTGGCATCATGAGAACTAATAGACTGACATGGATGCGGCAGATTGAAAGAATGTCAGATGACAGAGAAGTAAAAACTGTATACACCAGGGAGATGAATGGTCGTAGACCACGAGGCAGACCAAGAAGACGATGGAGAGATAATATCCAATCAGACCTGCAAACACTTGGTGTCATGAACTGGAAAGAGAAGGCCAACCAGAGAGATGAATAGAGGCGGGTGATATCTCAAGGGCTCGCGCTCTGAATGCTGAAGAAGAAGTCACATTTTTTTTTTTTTTTTTTTAAATAAAGCGCTGGAATAAATGGAAATTATTCACATTAATTTTAATCTGAAAGAAAATGGTTTCAGGATACAAGTTATTCCTAACAAAATCTCTGTCACGGAACAAACAAAATTAATATCCTAAGATTTTGCTGTATTTTATTTTATTACAGATAAGATAATGTAAGCTTAACAAAAATGTACAATTCTACACATATCACTTGACTTATTGATATAAGTTACCTTCTTCTGATGTCTACATCAAAACGCATTCCAAATTTCTCAGCAACTGGCTTAAACACCTATACAGAGGAAATAAAACCACAACTATTAAATACATCTATAGAAATGTTATTCTTTGTGCTCTTTTTAATAATTCTGATTGTTTCTTTTGTTTCTTACAGTTAATTGCGGCGTAGAAGTCAACCTCAAGACATTTAGCTAAAAATTCTGAGTTAGACCCTGGGCTATTTTTTTTTCTAGAAATCATTTTATTCAATGTTAATGTAATAGACACTTTGTGGCGAGTATCTGCACCTTTTATAGACACTTCATGGTGAATATTGGCACTTCTGTTTTAAAGATCAGGCTTATTTGTATAAGGGCTGTACCGAATAGTGATTTTCACTATTCGGGAGATACGAATAGCTGGACCAACTATTCAGCCAAATACGAATACGAATAGTGAATCATCATCATGAGGTGCTTTGCCGACTGGTATCGGCGATCATGCCTCGAAACAATCTGCAATCTCCTGCAGCATGTATTAGTTCCTGTGCTGACACACCTCCATGCCATGCAACAAGACTGCCAAGAATCTTCTCTTCCTCTATCCCTCCTTCCACATATCTTTCCAGTGGTCACCACATGTTTCATTCTCCCTCATCTTATAACATGACCGAAAAATGATGACTGTCTGCTTCTGATGTCTGTGAGGAGTTGTCTTCAGGGCTCCCGCCTCTATCAAAACTTCTTGGTTGCTGTTTTCTTTTTTTTTGGGGCTTCCAGGGTATTTTAAGCATTGTTCTGTAATACCACATATCTGAGCACCGCTCGCCTCGGTTCGATGTTCACTCACTAGTCTTCTTGTAGTGAGCACTGCCCGACCCAGTTCATTGCTGGTTTACAAAGCTTTTTTGTAGTAAGCACCGCTCGCCCCAGTTCGATGTTTGTTTACTAGTCTTCTTGTAGTGAGCACCGCTCGCCCCAGTTCGATGTTTGTTTACTAGTCTTCTTATTATGAGCACCGCTGGCCCCAGTTCGATCACTAGTCTTCTTGTAGTGAGCACCGCTCGCCCCAGTTCAATGTTCGTTTACCAGTCTTCTTGTAGTGAGCACCGCTGGCCCCAGTTCAATGTTCGTTCACTATGCAGGATATTTTAAGCATTGTTCTGTAATACCACATCTCTGAGGTTTCAAGAAATTGTTTGGCCTGCCTACCGATTGTCCAGGACTCACAGCCATTTGTTAAAAAAAGCAAGCAAGAATTATTTTTCTAACCTTCAATGACAAAGAAATATTGCATAAGATGTTCTTCATTTTATAAAATGCGGTTTTTGCCTGTCCTATTCCGTTTCTTATTTCAGTAATGCATCTTCCATCTGAAGTTATCCATGTGCACAGATACTTAAATTTTCTTACTTGCCCCAAAATAAAAAAATTGACTTGGATTACACATTTAGGAGTAATTATTTTCTCTGATACCACCATTACTTCTGTCTTCCTACTATTCAAACTGAGGCCCATTCTTCCACTTTCGTGTATAAAAAAAGATCTAAAAAAGAAAACATCCATAATGTCAAATGTACGCTGACATTTTACTTCACAAAATGTAGTACAGAATAGTAAACATTTAAATACATTTCATGTTTTGCATTCTTTAGTCAGTCAGTCTGTGGTAACTAATACATAGGAATGAAAGTATTCTTAGTTTTATAACAAGTAACTAAACTTGTAAATTGTCACTGACAGCTTAGTTAATCCATGAAAGCGGCATTAGCTTTCCACACCCAAAAAATCGTTCCATGTTGTCAGCATTAAGGCAGCTTCTTGTCTCACTGAAGGCATTTCCAGCTTTACTAAACAGACGTTCACTTGGTACGCTCGTAGGTGGTGCACAAAGATAACGATTGACAGAATGAACCAAAGTGGGAAATCTTGACATGTTTATTTTCTACCAGTCCATGAACGGGTGTAAGGTAACCACTATTCGTATTCGGCCTGACCGCAACTATTCGGCCGAATACTGAATAGTTATTAGGTCCACTATTCGGCCCCGAAGCGAATATTCAGTACAGCCCTAATTTGTGTGCAAACTGTTGGTTCCTCATTTCTCAGGTAAATGCACTCTGAAGGGAACACCTCTAATTAGTTCCCTTTTACAACACATTTGTTTCTTGCAACGGGACTTGGAACCCACATTGAATAGTCTGTGTGTGTGCGTGCGAGCGTGCCTGTGTGTGTGTGTGTGCTTGCCCGCGCGTATGTATGTACCCCTTAATTCAGCAAGTTAGTTCTGGAAGTGTAATGTTTCAAGCCAGTGTGATGTTTCGGTGAAATGTTTCCAGAGGATGTGGTATTTCTGAGTGAAATGTAAAGTTTCTGTATGATTTTTAAGACAGTGTGACATTTCTGTCTGATGTTTCAGGTCAGAATGATATTTCAAGTCAGTGTGATGTTACAAGTCAGTAGGTTGTTTCTGCGTGATGTGTCAAGTCAATGTGGTGTTTCTGTGGGATGTTTCACGTCAATGTGGTGTTTCTATGTGATGTTTTAAGTCAGCGTGATGTTTCAAGTTAGTGTGATGTTTCAAGTTAGTGTAATGTTTCAAGTCAGCATGATGTTTCAAGTCTGTGTGATGTTTCAAATCAGTGTGATGTTTCTCTGTGATGTTTCAAGACAGTGTGATGTTTCTGTGTTATGTATCAAGTCAGTGTTTTGTTTCTGTATGATGTTTCAAGTGAGTGTGATGTTTCAAGTCATTTTATATTTCTGTGTGATGTTTCAAGCTGGTGTGATGTTTCAAGTCAGTGTGGTGTTTCTGTGTGGTGTTTCAAGTCAGTGTAGTGTTTCTGTGTGATGTTTCAAGTCAGTGTAGTGTTTCTGTGTGATGTTTCAAGTCAGTGTAGTGTTTCTGTGTGATGTTTCAAGTCAGTGTAGTGTTTCTGTGTGATGTTTCAAGTCAGTGTAGTGTTTCTGTGTGATGTTTCAAGTCAGTGTAGTGTTTCTGTGTGATGTTTCAAGTCAGTGTAGTGTTTCTGTGTGTGTGGTGTTTCAAGTCAGTGTAGTGTTTCTGTGTGATGTTTCAAGTCAGTGTAGTGTTTCTGTGTGATGTTTCAAGTCAGTGTAGTGTTTCTGTGTGATGTTTCAAGTCAGTGTAGTGTTTCTGTGTGGTGTTTCAAGTCAGTGTGGTGTTTCTGTGTGATGTTTCAAGTCAGTGTAGTGTTTCTGTGTGATGTTTCAAGTCAGTGTGATAATTCTGGGAAGGCTAAATCCCAGAAAATCACATCGGTGGAAGCGGAACTCTGGCTGCTGAAGATAAGGATGGAGTGCTTATGGCAATGTGCTGAGTGCTGTGACCTCAACCGGTAAATAAGCAGGCTGCACAAAGCAATGTAAATTTATGTCAACAACCAGAAAAGAATTACAATAATGTGCAATATTTACTCAAAGAATGATCAAAGGTAAACAAAAGGGACAGAGAAAACTTACAGGCGTCCTAAAATCTATATAAATTTGTGTTGTGTTTTCAAATTCGCTCTCTTTCTATGGCCCACCATGCCCACAGACTTTGCTATTAATTGTACCAGGTTGTAAGGCTAAAACAGTACCATATTTCGTTTTTCATATTCTAAGATATATATATATATATATATATATATATATATATATATATATATATATATATATATATATATATATATATATATATATACACACACACACACGCACACGTGCGCACGCATGCACGCACGCACGCATGCACACACACACGCACGCCCGCCCGCAGGCACGCACGCACACACACATATATAATTTTCAAATTTAACAGTTATTACTATTTCTGGCTCCATGTATATTTTCTACGTTCAGTTAAGACAACACTGGCTTTTTTTAAAAAACAAATCCAGGTTTTATTTACTATTTTTTTTCAAATATCAGTGTATGGGGGGGAAAGGGGGTGGGGGGGGGAGAGGGGGGGAGAGGGGGGTGTTGAGCCTGAAGATTTAGGGCTGAATGGCCAGTACTGTCACCAGGGGCTGTGTAGGTTAGGACTTTTTTTTTCCCATGACAGAAAACCCTTAAACCTGCCGAAGCTTTGAACTTAGGTCTTTCAAGTGAAAGCCTAGCATTCTTAACCAGCCGTTCTAGTTAACTAACTTTGACTGAATGAGTTAAAGTAACAGAAGAACGTGACGCAGAACTTGGCCTGACGCGCACCCCTCCCATTAGGTACAAAGAAGCAGTTGAAGAAGACTGCACGTCTGACAAAGCAGTAGATCCTAACTCACTTGACAATGCTGAAACTCTTATAAATCTATAAGAAAAAAACTGCCAGGACAGCGACAAAATGAAACAACGGGTGTACCATTGCGGTGTAGTCAATCTGAGGTGCCATGTCGCAGTTGGTACCACCCTTGAGTCGCAGGGAACACTCACTGGCACTAAACAAGAGACATGGGAGTGCAGCTTGCATCAGCAGACAGATACTTCTGTTGAAAGGAGAAAACACTGAACATGTCACACTGTCAAGCATGTGATCAACCTCTTCTCCATTTGCACTCAAGTGTTAGCACAGAAAACTAAACAGTCAAAGAAATGCTGAGGCTGGTTCTGCAATGTCCTATAAAGCAGTGTTCTACAACTTTTTTAATACCTACGGCCCACTAAAACAGTGGAAATTGTCCAGCTGATAGCTTTGCGAACACAAAACAAAAACCAATGTAGATAGCAGTCAGTTGCTAAATCTGATGCCAAAAAACTAAAATTTTCAGGTTATGTGTCACCTGTTGCTGCCTTGAGGTCTAAAAATCTGGTATGTGTGTCTAGAACATTGTTTCCGATACAAGCGCTATAATTTCATCCATTTGATTTCTCCGTTTTTTTATTTTTTTATTTATGTGCCTCAGAAAGTCTTTTCACACAAACAGTTAGCCCTTGCTGTGTTAATCCTACAGACAGGAAGAGCAAACCCAGATACCCTACCTAGTTGTATGGTTAAGCAGAATTTTATGGAGGCCCGCAGGGACTTTTCCGCAGCCCACAGGTTTAAGAACACTGCTATAAAGGATGTGCAATTGACTTTAACAGCATAAATGTATTTTTAGACAGCAGGTACCAGCTCAAGAGAGTGAACATCTCCAGAATTTTTCTTACCTTTAATTGTGTACCTGGACCCTACGATTAGAGGAAGATGTGACAGTAGGACTGCAAAGACCCTTCACATTTGACTGATATCAATTTCGGCATTAATAGCAATCAAATGTTAAAACAATAAGATTAGTGTGGCGTATATTGGTACCGGCGATACTGGTGACAACCTCAGTTCTTGCAGGGGATGTTCAGAGGACAGCATGAAACCTAATGGGACCGACCCACATAAGGACTTCACAATAGGAAGGTGGATGTCCAAAATGGACATAAATAAGGATGAGATCTCCAGGTTAGAAGACAGGACATAACATCCCTGGAGGAAAACATCACAAGATGTATAAGAAGCACAGCCACCATTATGACAACACAATTACCATATGAACATAGACCAGAAAAGTGGAACCCTTATCTGGACCACAGGACCAAACTGGAAGTCCCAGAGACGTTCATTACACATCTAGGGACAATAAACCATAACTCTTGACAGAAGAAACTATTTAAGCCATTGAACTTGGCACAAATAAAAATAGACCACAATTATAACCAAAGCTGTTCTCAGCAGGATCCCCCCCCCCCCCTCCCCACTCCTCCGGTCAAACTACGAAATACAAACGAATGACTTTTTATGCAAAAACAGAAGATGACCGAAAATATCAGTATCAGATGAGATATTATATTAAAATATTTTATTAAAATACCAAAGTTCCAAATGAAACCTATCCTCTTCTTCTGCTGTTTTTTTTTTCTAATCCCCTAACGAAACACAGGCCCTTAACCAACTTCCCCCCCCCCCCCCCCCCCCCCCACTTCTCCACCCCCTTTGTTTTGCTACAACTTTTGCTCTATACATTCTACAGAAAGACTATACGATTAACCACATCCTCACATTTGACTGTGGGTTACTTCTTTCATAACAGTTGGATGCCCTAGAATATCTGTTTTATAAATATACACTTAAACAAGGTTTCTGGGATTTGCTCCTACTGATCCTCATCCCTGCGGTGTTAAACCTGTGACAACAATACTGGAGGGGAACAACAACCACCACCACACCACCTACAGAAAATGAAGAGCAGCTAAGAATACTAAATCTGGTACCAACTTTGTTCACTGACAACATTTACGAATTCAAAAGACAGTAGCTGGCATATCATCTGTCAGAAACATTCTAATACCAAGAACTGACTCTTTAGGCGTGGGTACTAAACTGTGAACTGTGAAGGCAGAAACCTACTAATTTGTAAAGGTCAACAGGAGGAGCCATATGTGTATCTGTCCCGCCTTTGTAAGTCACAAGCACTGACTCAGGACCAAATATGGTACAAGGGAGAGCCAACTGCATTAACAGGCAGACACTCCTGAAAGAAACAAAGCAGTGTTAAACAGACAATAGTCTGAATCACTTGGCAGACTTGATGATTTGTTTAAATATTATGTACACTTCTTCTTCTTTTGCAAATAGATCATAACAGTCTTAGAAGAATGGCGCTGCGAGGAGTTACCAGGGGATCTGGCCGGCGCTCAACACTCAGGAAAAAGGTGAGACGGATTTACAATCAGACAGTTACTGGTGCCATTGGAATTGGAACACTTTGCTTGCTGCTGAAGATGGGGAAGGATAGTTTATGGGAGTCTCCCGAGTGATATGATGTTGATTCTTGATTCAACATTCTTCTGATATTTTTGCCTTTAAAATCACACTGGTTGACATGCGTTGTGGTTTACAGTTAGGATGCTGTCTGAGTGGGTTTATGGACTAGTTGTTGCAGGAGCTGCATGATGAGCCATTTTATGCACCTTTTATCTCTACACTAACTGTAATAAGTGGTGTGTTTATATTCTCGTTGTCTAGGTGGTGTTCATGCGTGTGTAGTGCATCTTCTTCTCACACACACTACGTTACATAACTGGTACGAGCCGACACCAAGTTAGTCGTACGAGCATCGATTTATTGGCATGAAATAACTTACAGAAGAGTCCTGTCGTTGTCCTAGTAAACAGCTCTCGCACACAAAATCACGCAGCCTTCAACGAACAGGTTCTTCATGCATTCACTGACCAAAGTCGGCTCCCATGGATCAAGTTGAGGTTCTGGCCATCTCACAGACTGGCATGGTCGATCTTGGCTTCACACTTTGTCGTCAGGGTCTCATTTCTTAACAAGCACTCTTACGTTGACATTCTCACGTTCAGTCTCACATCCTCTCGCTCCAACAGGTCGACACAAACTAAACTTGATCAGAATCAAGTCTGACTTATACTACGGGTTAGTTTCACGTGGCAACACGTGGTGGTCCTTTACTTTCACGTGGCGACCTTTGGTCGCATTCTCGTGGTACCCGTGATAACTAGCGGTCATCACCTTTCTCAAGATTCTCGTTTAATCCGAGTATCTGGACTATCTCGGTGTTTTAGGTCAGCTTTGGGCCTTCCCCCCAACCATCCTAATCTGGGTGAAAATATCCCCCATTGCACTAACCCTTGTATGTGTGTGTCAGACAGGCGATGGAAGGACAGCATTTCTGCAACCCAATGACAGATGCAATATACGCCCCTTTCAGTCCAACACATCCAATTTCAGCAAAACCTATAACTCTCTAATTAACCACCTCTGACGATGTGCTTGTTGGTAAGTGCAGTGGGCCTTTTCTATAGAAAGCTATCATGCAGTACAAATTTCCTTATGTGTGCCATACAGTTTTGTCATGACCAAGGATGAAACAGGTCAGATTGTGACTCTGTTAGCCCCATACAATCTACAGTGCTTGAGTATCTCTTCTTCTTCTTAGCATTCACTGACTAAATTCTAGAAGAAAATTCTGGTTGTTCATCCACTCCTGAAATTTGGTTGTGATCGGGAACCTGAATTTTTTGTGCATGCACAACCATTTGACAGATTTGGCTTATTTTATGCAGAATGTTGGTTCCTTGCCTCTCAGGCAGACACACTCCAACCTGGAAGGAAACGGCCTTAATTAGTCAGCTCCAATGACAAGCTTCTTAGGGTAGCAGTGGGCCCCAGAGCCCAGAACCCATAAGTGGAGTGTCGGAGTATATGCTCAGTGTTTAGGTGCCAAGCTGCAGGGACACATCTTTGTGCTTCTGATCATGTTTGTGCTTCTGATACCAAAAAAACTTGAACATGTGTTGGTAAGTCTGCCAATCACAGTAGTCATGACTGCTTGGCTGTGAATCCTCTAGAAGACTGCAAGTTTTAACTCTTATTCCGATTATTTTATTCAAGAGTGACTGGCAGACTTGTCGAGAACACAACCCTCTCATTTTGGAAACACAGGTTAAAATTCTCTAAGTTGACAGATTTTTGTACAATTTTTTATGCTAACTCAATTGTGTGACTTGAAAGTAAAGTTTAGTGAAGCATGTCTATGCAACCTTAAAGGTCAAGATTATAATCAGCTTCTGATGGGAACTTCTTCTTTGTACACCAGCTGTAAACTCGGTGCAAAGTCCTGGTAGTTCGTGCACTCCAATTTTGAAAGAAGCTTCCAGTTAGTCGACTTCTATGACATGCTCGTTATGGAGGAGTGGGTATATACTTGTTTTCCTCACATTGGGGCCCCGGAACCCACATGGGAGACTCCCGAGAACAGACAGCAGAAGTATCTTGGAGTGGCTGCTGCAACACAGGCCTCGCATGGGAATGACAAATGTGCAGGAACACTGACTGTGGTAACATAACATAATATAGAATGTTTTGTGCCAATACAAACCCTGCAGTTTTGGTGTCCGCCACAAATTCTCCAGACAGAATAGGGCCTGGATCTAGTGTGATCTCACAAGAGCCTACGGCACATTTCTCCAGCTTCCCTCCGCACAACTTGGCAATCAATTCCAAGCCTGATAAATGCTGTGGCCTGGGAGATATCAGAACATACAACTGAAATTAATATACTGACTCAGGCTCGCCAATTAATTCCATGCTTGATAAGTACTGTGGCCCGGAAGATATCAAAACATACAAGTGAAATTAGTTTACTGACTCAGGCTCACCAATAAATTTCAAGCCTAATAAGTACTGTGGCCTGGGAGATTTCAGAACATATAAGTGAAATTAGTTTACTGACTCAGGCTCGCCAATTAATTCCATGTTTGATAAGTACTGTGGCCCGGAAGATATCAAAACATACAAGAGAAATTAGTTTACTGACTCAGGCTTGCCAATTAATTCCATGCTTGATAAGTACTGAGACCTGGGAGATATCGTAACATACAACTGAAAATAGTCTACTGACTCATGCAAGGCAGTCAATTCCAAGCCTGTTAAATGCTGTGGCCTGGAAGACATTAAAATACTCAACTAAAATTAATCTAACGGCTCACAATTGTCAATTAATTCCAAGCCTCTTGAATGTTGAGGCCTCTCTATGTAGGCTCCAGGGCCCCGTTTTGGGTGGAGAGGGGAAAAAATACGCGTTACCCACCCTTTCGACCCCCAAAAAAGCATGTCATCAGAAGCTGCTAATTAAGGGTGTTAGTTCGAATTTAGACTGCAACTGCTTAAGAGCTAACAGCCTGTATACAAATAAGCCAGATCTGCAAAATGGATTTGCACGCACAACTCAAGTTCTGGTACAAGACCAAGGAAGTGGATGAAAAACCATAACTATCCGCTGCAATTTACAGCCGGTGAACATAAGAAGAAGAAGAAGAAGAAGAAGAAGAAAGAAGAAGAAGAAGAAGAAGGAAGAAGAAGAAGAAGAAGAAGAAGAAGAAGAAAAAGGAAGAAGAAGAAGAAGAAGAAGAAGAAAAAGGAGGGGGAGAAGAAGAAGAAAAAGGAGGAGGAGGAGAAGGAGGAAGCAGAAAAAGAAAAAGAAGAAATATAGAGGTCTGCAAGATGTCATAACAGCATCATGATTATCATCATCAACTGCCCTGCCAACTAGTATGGACAATCATGCCTCTCCACTACCTGCCATATCCAGCCGCATGAATCAGTTTTTGTGCTAACACACCTCCATGCCAATGAAACAAAAGAATTGGCTGTCCAAAAAATCTTCTCATGCTATCTTCTTGAATCTTTCTTTCCACAAATCTTTCTAGTGGTTACAACATACGCCAGTTTCCCTCTTCTCTTAACATGGTCAAAAGATGAGGACTGTCTTCTTCTGAGAGTTGTGATAATTTGTTTTCTGGCCCTCGCCTCTTTCAAAATAGCTGGGTTCCCTCTTCCGGCTGTCCAAGGAATTTAAGCATTCTTCTGTAACACCATACCTCTGAAGCTTCAAGAAACTGTCTGGCTTGTTTAGCCTGAACCCATAAGGGTACCATCAATTACCAAACACAATCACTGACTCACCTCAGCCCTGGGTTGTCTCTCCCTGCTCGAATGTTGGTCACATGTATGGGGATGCCCAAAATACAGGATAACGCTGCAGCATTGCGCAAGATTTGTCCCCCCTGTGTGAATAAATGCAACAAAGATCATCAACTTTGGCTTTCATATTCTGTGTCGGCTCTTACAAGGGTGGACAGCACACTGTGTTGTGGTTGCTAGGCTGCAATATATGTGCCTTTTGGTCCAAAACATCCAAATTCAACAATTCAAAAAATAATTGTTTTTTATCATAGGGTTATTTTTGCCTCTCCCCCCCCCCCCCTTTTTTTTTCCCTCCAGAACCCATCTGCTGATGACTCTCCTATGGTATCTGCTATAAAATTCAATACCTAATTGTACTAACAACAGGGGTTTGTGCCAGTAATAGGCCTTTTTCCCTACCTGGAAGAGCATTGGGTATATTCTTCTTTGTCTTATTTATGTTCACTGTCTGTAAACTCTGATGGAATGTTCTGTTTGTTCATTCACTTCTGGACTTAAGTCCTGTTGCAAAACTTAACTTTAGCATAAACTTTAATTTCAGAGATCTGGCTTATTTGTATGCAGACTGTTTGATCCTTGTCTCTTAGGCCCATGCAATTCGACTTTGAAAGAAACACACCTAATTCAGAGCTTTTATGATATGCTTGTTGGGGGGGGGGGGGGGGAAGGGGCTATTCCCCCCCACTCCAAAATGGGCCCCTAGTACTCACACAGGGAGAAAGCTTAGATCGATCAGCTCTGTGTGGTTAGTGTGGTCAGTATCTCAACAGCAGTCAAACATCTCTATTTGTCTTCCCCTATCTCTCCTCCAAAAAATCCATCCGGTGGTTACATTGCCCAGTTTTTATCTTCTTATAATGTGTTCAGCAAAAACAAAACGGGTGCTTTTGATGTTTTGATGAAAACCTAAAAGCGATATAACTAAAATGTCTTTGCATTGAAAGCCTTAGGGGCATAAAAAGTAAGGCTGACCAACAAAACAAAAAAAAAAAAACACAGAGAAGAGAACGAGACAGTGAAGTTGAAAAGATGAGAAGTACATGGGGTGAGCCGCATGTAACAGCAAAGAATAGCAGAACTTGGTGTGAGTTGGTTGACTGCCTATGTTCAATTGGGGGATTAGGGGCATAGGTAAAAAAAGATCTCTAAAAATATATGTCTAATACTATAGGCTGGACGGGAGTCACCGTGGCAGAGCGGCTAGAAGCGTGACATGGATCGGAAGGTCGTGGGTTCGCTCCCTACCGGAGCCTGACTTTTCTTCAAAAATGATGTTGGCTCCCAGGTCGACCCAGCCTTGAGTGGGTACCAGGTGCAGTCCCGGGAAGTATAGGTGGCCGGCGTGATGCTGACCACATCACCCATCTTGCGCCGTTGGTCTAAAAAATATAGGTCTAGCCCTATATGCTCTATACGCCTAAAGGCGTGGAAAAGGGTCATTTACTTTTTTACTTTATTCACTATAGGCTGGACTCTGAAAAGGATGCTTCACCATTCTATTGTCAGTAAAGGACTAAAATACTAGTTTTGTCTGCTTCAATAAATCATCAAGCATAAGAAACATTACCCCTTCCAAAACACCACCATCGATAAGCAACCGCCCACTAGAATCAAACTCTTGTTTTGGTCTCTCACGAGGAATAGCTTCCATTATTTTGAACTGAAAATAACAAACAGGAATTAGTAGATTATTACAAACTATTACTACTTTTAATAGGAGGAATGTCAGGACAAATGCTTGTATCAACAGTTATAAGAAAAAAAAAGAAGATGGCAAAATATTGAGGAGAAGGAGACAGAAAATTACCAAAGAGGCAATGGAACTGGAAACAAATGTACTGATGAAACGAATTCTAGAAGAAACCCCAAGACAAATGTTGTCAAGAAAAGCCAAGGGTGTACAACTGGATTTCAAATTTAACACTGAAAGGTTTGCACAGCACAGAATGGAACAGAGGTAAGTTAATTAGTGAACATGAAGAAGATGGGGGCTTCCTAAACTATGTATGTGTGAATGGGGGAGTAGATCTTCTATTCTTTTATCCCCCCCCCCACCCCACCCCGCCCCCCCACCCCCGCCACAACAGGGCCCCGGAACCCATAATGGGAAAGATGGGGATTATTTTATATGTACATGTGTAAATGAATGGGTCTGAAGAAAAAGGAAATTACATAAAAATGTAGTAATGATTTAGTGAATTTCACTAGGAGTGAATGTGTCAGAACTCTCCTGTGTACAGAAATAGAATAACATGTAAGCATCATGCTTTTCATGGCATTATTTTGGTCATGTTCAACATCATGATGACCTGTAGAGAACGGTGATGGAGGATACAGTTTCTGGAAGATGAGGCAGAGGCAGACCTCCACGAAGGTGAACACAACAAACTGAAGAAGTAATGGCCATGAAAGCACATAGGGCTGGAAAACTGGCTGGAGAAAGAGATACTTTTAGGTGTGCTGTGAGGACAGTGATCTTGTTGAAAAGACCTGCTGATTGATGATGATGATGATGATGCTTCTAAAACAGCAATGGACAGCAGGACTGACAGGTGCATGTAATCATAAGTACTAGTACTAAAGTACTCAGGATGAAACATGTTCTCAAAATGTCACGAAGCTCTAGTGTTTCACTGAGGAATAAACTCTACTACTCTGGGAAGAAAGACCTCTCTGATAATATTAATAATGATGTCCAATTATTCCTTCTAAAGGTAGCATTGATTAACTAATTTATCAGTAAATATTGGGTTATTTTAATAATTTAAAAAGTTTGCATTTCAGGTGAGTAAAAATATGTGATATTAGGTTATAATTTTACTTTTACCTTATAAATACGAAAAGATTTGAACAGACAGCTTATCCCCTACGACGTTTGTCTTCGTCACAAACCTAGCAATGAATTAAATCAATAGGATTAAACATTATATAAATAAATCCATATGAAGTCAGGACGAAAACTTACAATGATTGTAACAATCACTGCAACTGAAAGCTCTTTTTTATTTAATCGGGCCTATGGAGGAAAGTGCTAAACAGAAAGTACTAAACACTGTGAGTGTGTCTGCGTTTAAAAGAGATATAGAATTTCAAGGGAAATTTGCTAGCAGTTAGTATTAATACACTTTCTTACAATGTTTTGGTAGTTGGTATTGCAATGAAGAAGCAAAAGTGTTGCAAGCCGGTGGAGCTCTTCACTAAAGAGAGACAAATTAAAGATTATGCCTTTTGTGATTTTCATTATCTTCTTTCTTCTTTGTGTTCACCAGCTGTACACTCTGGCGTAAAGTTCTGGTTGTTCGTCCACTACTGAACTGCAGTCATGCTCCAGAACCTGAGTGTTGCATGTGCATCAGTTTTACAGATCTGATTCAATTGAATGCAGACTGCTGGTTCCTTGCCTCTCAGGCAGATGCACTCCGACTTCAAAGGAAGCTCCTCAGTTAGTCGACTCTTACGACATGCTTTTGGTGAGGCAGTGGGTCTATTCTTGTTTTCCCCACAATAGGGTGTTATTATCTTCGTTTCCCCCCATGTGTGGGTTCTGGGGCCCCAGTAAGAAGAAGAAGAAAAGGGGGGAGGGCGTGTTGTTAAACCCACAGCCCACCTATATTGAGGACCTGAAGGGGCTTAAGTTTTAAGTACTGTTTAATTGCAAAATAATATATGTTAATATATGCTGAATAGCAATATGTGTATATGTCTGAACAATGTAGATTTGTAGAAGGAAAAGGCACAAACAATGCCATATACATTCAAAGGACATTGTCAGAAAAAGCTATAGAAGTAAGGACTGATTTGTACTTATGCTTCATAGACTATCGTTTTGAAAGAGGCGGGAGCCCGAAGACATCTTATCACAGACATCAGAAGGAGACAGTCATCATTTTGTGGCCATGTTATGAGAAGAGGGAAAATGAAACATGTTATGACTGTGGAAGGAGGGACAGAACAAGACAACGAGAGAAGATTCTTGACAAAAGATCTGTGGAAGGAGGGACAGAGGAAGACAACGAGAGAAGATTCTTGACAAAAGATCTGTGGAAGGAGGGACAGAGGAAGACAACGAGAGAAGATTCCTGACAAAAGATCTGTGGAAGGAGGGACAGAGGAAGACAACGAGAGAAGATTCTTGACAAAAGATTCGTGGATGGAGGGACAGAGGAAGACAACTAGAGAAGATTCTTGACAAAAGATCCGTGGAAGGAGGGACAGAGGAAGACAACGAGAGAAGATTCTTGACAAAAGATTCGTGGAAGGAGGGACAGAGGAAGACAACGAGAGAAGATTCTTGACAAAAGATCTGTGGAAGGAGGGACAGAGGAAGACAACGAGAGAAGATTCTTGACAGTCTTGTTGCATGGCATGGAGGTGTGTCAGCAGGAGATCGCAGATTGTGGAGAGGCATGATCGCCAACGCAAGTCGGCAAGGCACTTGATGATGATGATGATGATGTATGTGTCCGTGTGTGTGTGTGTGTGTGTGTGTGTGTGTGTGTGTGTGTGTGTGTGTGTGTGTGTGTGTGTGTGTGTGTGTGTTTGAAATAGTGTGAAATGTTTTTACAAATACTTGAAAACGTCTCACATGTACAGAAAATTCAAGATAGGCGTATCAGCCATGTGCACCTGTGGAATTTTTTAAATTATTATTAGCATGTAGGAAGCAGCATTTGTTGTGTAATGTCCCGGTGGGGCAAAAAGTCAGTTAGTCAGTCATCCCGTATTGGGACTTCGTTAATTATTTATAAAAGAGATTCGCAGTGTATCTCACACGCACTCACACAATACGATTTTCTTAGATTCAAGTAGCGATTGTAAAACTATTTTTTAATCGTTTTTTTTTAAAGCCTCCCCCCGCCCCCCACTTCTTCCCCTCCCCCGGCCCTATTTGCAGTCTTTAGGATTAACAACGTCAAGGATCAAGGATGAGAATGAAACAGGTACACCGCCCGGAAATCTCGTCTTACTGTGTATTCATACAGCATAATTATATTAGGGCAACAGAAAACGGAACGGAATCACCTATAATCTTGTACCGGTGTAAGGTCCCTTTCCCCCCCCCCCCCCCCCCCTTTAGACGTGTTGGGAATATACATTTATTGTTGTAGTCCAATCGGCACTTGATAGGTGATGTGGTCAGCATCACGCCGGCCGCCTTTACTTTCCAGGACTACACTAGCCGCCAATGACACGGTGATTCTCGAAAGTAAAGATCCCTTTTTATGCCTATTAGGCGCATTGAGCATACGGAACAGCACCCATATTTTTACAGACCAATCGGCACTAGGTGAGTAAAAAAAAAAGTAGAAAGGTAAAGTCGGGAGATGTTAACCAGCGTTATAGCACACGGTTATAAACCATTTGTGCTCTGCCACCAGTACGAACAGCTGATAAGAAACTGTCCGCCTGTCTCCGTTCGTACGTAACTCCGTAGCTACAGCAACGTTCCTCCATTCACCCCAGAGTGTACTCTGGTACCCATTTTCTAGAGGATGGGTGAACCCCGAGAACCGCCCGGTTTCGAACACACACCGTGGACTGCAGCGAGTCGCAGCTGGATTTGAAAGCGAGCCTCCTATTGACTGCGCTAACGCAGAGTAATGTGGTCAACATTACGGTGGCGGTCTTTACTTCCCCAGGACAGCCATCCTTGTACCCATTTTAGGCTGGGTCTACCTGCGACGTCCCATACCATAATAAAAATCCACGCTAACCAGCGGTGGGTTTCGATCGCGGTACGTTGGAATTATAAGTCAGACTCGCAACGCCTAAGCCACGGAGGCCGCTTTGTGTGGGTGGGTTGTGATAAAATAATCGCTTTTTAAAGAGACACTGGTTAAATTAAATGTCCGCCAATCAATACTAAGGGGTGTGGCTGTGACTGCCGTATAAGGAACAAATACTGCCGGTATACAAACAATTGTTTCCTCCAGAGCTAATCGATATCGGCGTTCCTTTTATGGAACGGAATTTCCGCATAAACAGATGTGCTAATAATACACATTACTGGTAATTTATTAGCACGGTGATAAAAACGTATCAAGCCTAATTACTGTGTTTCTTGCGCTTTTGTCCTATCAACTTTGCAGTATACACAGAATTAGATATCTAGCAACGAATGTCTTTTTGTCCCCAGGCCTCTTACGTCATTCATGAAAATCTACACCTCTTGCAATTTTCGTGTCGTTGGCTTTCAAGGTCGTATAAGAACAATAATTCTCGGCAGACTATCGACCTTCCAGGTCGCTATATAACAATCTGGAAAAGCGATTCTGTTATTTAAACCCGCTATAGTGCTTTGTCGTTTGCTCAAGGTGACCAGAGCGCAAGTTTTATTGTTTTTAGCACAAAGATTCTTGATTTTTGAGTGCCTCTATCAAAATGTGTGATGATGATATTGCAGCTCTTGTGATTGACAATGGGTCCGGAATGTGCAAGGCTGGATTTGCCGGTGATGATGCGCCAAGAGCGGTGTTTCCTTCTATTGTTGGGAGGCCACGTCATCAGGTACTTATATGTTTTTCATTTATAACATTCTTTTGCATGGGTGGGGTAGGTTAATCTAGGTTTCTGTTTGTTAATTTTTTTTTTTTTTTGGTCTTTAATTTCTGTTTCTGCTTCTGTTGCTTCTTCTTCTGTTTCTTCTTCTTC